TCCTGTGTGGAGCGGAGAGCGAGTGAGTGGGAAAGGTCTGGGAGGCTACACTGGGGGGTGGAACCCGGACAGGTTCCACCTGCCTTCTCATGGGCAGAGCCTGGGCAAAGAGCTGTGTACTATTGGGTGTCTCCAGGGGGGCCTTGGAGGTAACCCCACCCTAAAAAGCTACTCTGTAAGAGAGGGGACGTCATCACAGCATAGGTTCTGTCCTGGGAGAGTCTTGGCTTTAGAGTCCGAAAGGTCTAGGTTTGGATTCTGGTTAAGCCTGTTCTAAGTTTTGTGACTCTGTCCAAGGAAGCCTATGATCTCAAACACACTTACTCACTGACTTCTGTGAACTTCCTTTCTCCCATGCTCCTTTGCTAAGAGCCTGGCTGTCTCTGTGACTCACAGAAAGAGAAGCGTCCAGCCGTTGGAGAAGAAAATCTGGTCCCACTGGACTAACTTTCAGAGAAATGAACCCAGTGACTGACATCCAGGCTGCTATACCACTCTTCGTGGGCCTCGCTGGCACAAATCAGTAGAGTTCAGTCCCTTCACTGTTGGGACTCCCAACAGAGGGTAAAATGTGAGTGTTAAGCTAAGGTCAGCACCTGGGCTGGGAGGGCTTCTCTGAGGTCACCCCATCCCGTGGTACCTTTGCGTAGGGGGTGAGGTTCCTATCTACTGAGACCTTGTCCTCCTGCGAGCTTTCTTTCTTCCCAGGTGCGGGTTCATAGCGGAGGCCTCCTTGAACCTCTGCACACAAGGGACTCCCTTGGCACCAAAAGAGCTTTGCACTGTGGGAAATCACACCAGGCCTCAGAGCCTCCGGGGGTGGGGGGAGTCTTACATTTTTGAATCCTCGGTAAAGGACTTGCAGCTCCCTCTTGGTGAAGTTCGTCTGGGCCTCAAGCTGCTCCAGCCCCTCGGGCCGGTGGCAAACCATGGTCATCTCTAGTTCATCCTCGATCTTGTCTGGAAGCAGAGGGGGTGGCGTCAGAGCAGGGCCTCCTTGGTCTCTGTCACACCATGGTCTGATGCTGGGAACTGAGACTTGGGGTTGGGCAGGGTCAAAATGCAGGGGTTCCTGGGCCTTGAACCCCACTCCCTAGCCATTCACCGTTTCACAGTCTGCGCACTGTGTTACTGTAGGTGTGACAGGCACCAAGGGGAGGGAGCATCAGAATCTCAGATTGGGAGACGAGGGTAGAAGTGTGCAAACGCATTCACACAGAAGCTTCTTTTTCAGACTGCCTTCTTTGCATATTCAAATTAACGCCCTCTGACCCTGCTTTCTGTGTAGAGACACAGGTAACGGAGCAGAGTGAAAGCTTCCAAACAGTAAGGGGGAACAAATCACACCTATTTTTAAAAAGGATACATTTTCATCATGTGAGCAAGCAAGGGAGATGCTAGGGAGACTTAGAACGCTCAAATTATGGTATGTTAAATATGACTTTAAAGAATCTGAATATATTTTAAAGGGTATTGTTTTATAATATCTTCTAGATGTCCTTAAGTACTCGGAAAGTGACTTCAATTTTTGTGCTTTGTAGAAATTAAGGTTTCCTTTCCAGGGTGTTTGAAAGGCTCTACGAATGGCCATGGATAGTAGGGGTTCAACTTCCAGCATGTGCACCGAAGTGGGGGTCTAATGCTGTGTGCAGTGAAAAGGGGTCTAACACCGTGTGCGCTGAAATGGGTGCACTGCTTGTTTACGAAGGGCCCGTCGGCCAAGTCTACTCATCTTCCCTCAAAGTGGATCAAAGTTCACCCGTCAGTGGGGTTTCCAGGAGTTTCACCACATGCAAGGGATGCGTACTTTCCTCTGGGCCCTGCTGGAATGCTTTCTGTAAATTTATTCCAGCCAAGGATCATTGACCATCTGCCTGCCCTCCTCTGCCCGCTGCTGTCACGCAGACATCAGCGAATCATCTACTGAACAGTTCCAACTTCCGCCTGGTGAAGACTAGGGTGAGATGGGCAGGCTGCTGGGACACGCCCACCAGGCTGCCCTATGCTCAGTCAGAGAGGAGGCAGGCTGGTTTGCATGGCGGAACAGGGTGAGTCGGTGCAATGAGTGTAGGCACTCTGTAATCAGGGCTGGGTTCTCTGTGCCAGATTTTCTCTGCTGTTGTCACGTTCTCCTTTGGTACTCAAATCCCAGTACAAGACAAATCCATCAGAATTGCTATCTTGCGCAGGGTCCCAGCGGTAACAGGTGTCAGAGAAAAGCTCCAATAAAGTGGCAGCGAAGCTAATTGTTATCTTTCTTACGTGCTGGGCAGCACATATCTCCTAATCCTTCTGGGATGGAGGCAGAAAATGAGTCAATATAAGTAAGAAACTCTGTTTATGTTACATTGTGGCAAGTGGCCAATTTCCTCATAATGCTTACAGAGCCTTTAATTATTGTTAGGTTTGCTAATGAGTTAAGGACTAACTTCCTGAATGCAGGAGGTTTTTGTGGAAGTCAAAGAGAGAGTGGAAAGGGGAGGTCCCTAGAAGTGTAATGCGGAAAGCTCATGGGGCCTCAGGAGATCTCCAACTCATCCCAAGAAATAGCTCGCAAGTTAGTCCTAGCACAAAAACGCGTGTATCTTTAGCTGTGTGTATCTGAAGAAACTTAGTCCGAAAGGGCTCTAGAGGTTTATAACAACCTCCACATACTATCCCTTAACGACTCTCTGGGCATGCCCAGGTAGCCTCATGAAGAAGAATCAACAAAATTATAATAAAATATAAATAAGGGCCAGGCGGTGGTGGCGCATGCCTTTAATCCCAGCACTTGGGAAGCAGAAGCAGGTGGATCTCTGTGAGTTCGAGGCTAGCCTGGTCTCCAAGAGCTAGTTCCGAGATAGACTCAAAAGCTACAGAGACACCCAGTCTTGAAAAGAATCCAAATATACATTAAAATAGAAAATTAAATTTTAGAAAGAAAAGATTTGATGTTATAGTGTCTACTTCCAAATGTTCATCTGACCCAGAATAAAATCTCTGTCTCTCTGTGTGTTTGTGTGTGTGTGTGTGTGTGTGTGTATGTGTGTGTGTGTGTATGTGTGTGTGTGAGTGAGTGTGTGTGATCTCCCTGTGGCTGGATTCCTTATAAGCTTAGGGAATTTCTTTGCAAACAATTAAAGGATTTTTTTTTCAACTCAGAACCAGCACTCACTTATCATCTTGCTTAAAAAGTGCTAATTATTGAGATGGCAACTATTAAACTGACTTTATTAAGATGATGTCACTCCTTCTTAATCAAGGATAGGCTTGCTGTCTGGGAGGCAGGACTGAGTTCCGGATTAAAGAGATTCTGTAGGCTGTGAATACTCAGTTACTGACAGCCCAGCTTTGGCTTTCTGGCTTTGCCCTTCACTAATAATCAGTCTTGGCCACATCCACGACAGGAGAGACTCTGGTCATCGAGGCTGAAGGTGTAGAGAAGTAGCCACCTATGGATACTAGGGGCTTAAACCATTAAGTAAAAATGTAACTTATGTAACAGTCCAGTATACATATAAATGCATGCAAAACCTCTGTGAAACATTTGGAGGTAAAACACCATGAGGCAGTGCTGTCTTTGGTGTGAGATGGACTTTAGCCTTGGCAAACCTGTGCCGCTGGGACTCTCATGAGTTACGGCCTTTGGCAGGAAAACAATTTAACTTGTCCACAGCTTTTGCAGCTGTCTAGACTTGCCCACATTTGGACATTCCTCTCTTTCATACCACCGTGCAGCCTTTTGTTCTGGGCCACTGTACATACATGCACGGGGAGTTTTAGAAGGGTAATTTTCACATTTCTTCTATAGCCAGTCAGGGACTCTCTGGATGTCTCTAGGCAGAACCAGTAGAGAGGGGACACAGGCCCAGTTCCCTGGTTCGGCAAAAGCAGAATTAACACCCAGGGAGCCTCCTTACCACGTTCGTGCGTTGTGAGTCTTCAATCCCATGTGCTGCTCGCTGTATTATTTTCATTATTAAAGAAAATGATGAGCTAATTATTAAGTCAGACTGAGTTGGAATCAAAACTAATCTTGTGGTTAATGCCTTGGAAATTTGCTTGATAGAGATCATAAGAGTTATCTTCTCTTTGTAATGTTCTAGTAGAAATCTGTTCACTGCTCTTATGTGACTTCGTGTTTGGTCGGGGGCGAGGGGTCTGGTGCCCTCCCCACCTGGCATTTAGAAGTCAGTTATCTTTATGGAGAAGGTGATTTTCTAACTACAAGTGGCTCACAAGGCGGTGAAGGTCTGCCTCTGGGGGTGAGTGTGAGCCGGAAGGATGATTGTAAGGGCTGCTACAGTGGAGAACCCCAGACAGCACAGTGTGTGAGTCCGAGGAAACGGTTTTTAATACGTTAGGGTTTGGGAGTGGTTCTGGATATAGGGTGGATGAAAACTTTAGACCCTCTTAGAAAAAATTCGTTACATCAAGGCTCCCCATATCTCCAGTAAGTTCTGTATATTTTAAATAATCAGAGCCCACACAAAGGTCTTCTATTGGCGATCTCTCCCAAGCTCGGTCACTAACTCTTTTTGACTGAGGCTTGGGTCACTTAGGTCAACAGTGAAAAAGCTGGACCTCGATTTCAGCCAGTTTAGAACTCCGCCATTAGATTGGGCTGCCATATGTCCCCACAGTGGCTTCTACTCCACTGGAGCACAGAATGTAAGCTGGTGTGTGATCAGCCTGGAGGGACACCCGCTCCTAACAAATATCACGCCTTTGTACAAGTCAGCTCTCCAAACTGAGCAGTGAGGACCCACATCTGGGGGCACATCTGGCACTGAATATCTTCTCTGGCTGATGGCGAAGGCCATGGCCTAAAATATGACCATTTCCTCTCTTGCCTAGAATACAGTTTCTCCAGTGTGTGTGTACGTGTGTGTGTGTGTGTGTGTGTGTGTGTGTGTGTGTGTGTCGGGGTGGGGGAGGGAAACTGGGTTGCACTTTATATCCACCCATTCATTCCATTCCATTTTTAAGGCTACAAAATAATGGTCCTTAGTTTGAATGTAGTTCAAAGGTAGATTTTGTTTGTAAGGAACACACAGAAGCTCATATTTTATATGAAACAGACGAAATACATTTAAAACGCATTGCTAATATTTAGAGACAAGAAATCCATGACAAAGTTTGTATTTCTTACTTCACCTCGAAAATCTTGATTCTCAAATTCTCACCAGGGCGTCATCTACTAGAGCAAAGCAGGGACTGGACACTCTGGTTAAGTAGAGTCACCAGTACCCCCTGCCATTCACTTAGAATCCTTCCTTCCTTCCTTCCTTCCTTCCTTCCTTCCTTCCTTCCTTCCTTCCTTCCTTCCTTCTTCCTTCCTTCCTTCCTTCCTTCTTCCTTCCTCCCCTTTCCTTTCCTTTCCTTTCCTTTCCTTTCCTTTCCTTTCCTTTCCTTTCCT